GGAGGGAAGGTTTTACAATTTTGTTTCTGTTTAAAACAATTTTATTTTAAAAAATATGGATCTCCTGTAGTTTTGTACAAACCCAAAAGGTGCTCTCCCTATCTTAAGAAAGTTTGGAGTCCACTGGTATGAATTATCAGTCTTTACCCAATTGAGGGTCAGCAAGCTAACCTGAAGATGGAGCAAAATAGCAACAGGGTCCTCCCCCACCCATATGCCAGTTCATTCATTCAGGGGAGTGGGGAGCAATCAGAGTCAGGCAAATCTCTTGCTGCAAACCAGAATTGTCCTTGTAGGCTTTGAAATAAACCAAGAGATTAATGCCATTTAAAGGACTATTTTTTTAAATCAGTGACGTGTTAGAGAAGCACATGGATGGGAGTGAGACAGGAGTAAGGACAGTGCAGGAGGAGGTTATTTATATTACTGCAATACCCAGAGGCCACAACTGTCATCAGTTTCAACCCCCCCTTCCCCCGCTTTGTGAGAGTATAATGCCAAACACCCACACAGGATAAGGGCGCAGCTGTACTAGAGTGTTCTGTTGCATATTGGTGTAGTAGCGAAAGCAGTAATCTCCTCCGTTCCTCTCTTCCCACCCCTGCCCCATCTGGCCACAGCTGTCTCAATATAAAAAGTGCCTATATAGTTTATTTCAGTTTGGAGAGCAGAGCTATACCAGTGTAAGCACCTTTATACCATTAGAACGGCAACCCCAATCGGGCTTATACGGGTGTAAAACTGTATCAGATGGACTAATGTAACTTTTCTGGTATAGAGCATCCCAGGAGAGACAGTTTGTGTGTCAGGGTTTACAGTCTAATGACACCAACATAGACAAAGGCTGGGAGAAAGGAAATATCCACATTTTGGATAAGGACTTGTTGCTGCAGGGTAGGTAGTGTTCAAAATCAGTGGAAGCTCTCTTGATGATGGAGTGTGAGCATGAGCCGTCTCCTGTGCTGGGCTTCATTGAGCTCTCTTTAATAATCGGTCTTGTGCTAAAAACTCAACCCGCTGCAGGATCAGAACTGTGCTAGCTACAGGTGTAACACAGTTGGTGCTAATCATGGCCTTCCTATTGTTTCCATGAGCTTTGTTGGTGAGCCTGGGTTTTTTTCCTCCCCATTCCTCACCAACTAGCCAATGTCCCCATTTTGCAGGCCTTGTCTATGCTATTGCTGGCCGTTGGCCTAAGATACGCAACTTCCGCTGCACAGATAACACAGCTGAAGGTCGTACTTAGGTCTGCTTTCCGCATGTTTCCCATGGTAAGTCAACAGCTGACACTCTACTTCTGACTCCGCTTACTCTTCTCATTTTGGTGGAGCGCCGGGAGAACGCTTGGCCGTTGATTTATCGTGTCTAGATGCTGGGTTGATCACTATGCATGGATCCAGTCCATAATGTCAATTCTGGCTGCTAAACCTCCTCTGCTATGTCCCTCTTTAATCCTTGGCTCATCCAGCAACCTTCCTACTTTCTCATCAGCAATACTTCTACAGCCTCTCAGGCGTAAGCCACTGACCAATGTCTCACATTGTGTGTGGGCCTTATTTAACTATGGCCTGGTCTAGCCCTAAACTGTCCTTTCAGGATGGTGGCCTTATTTTGTAACCTCTTCAGAGCAATCTCCCACGGGTTTGCCTGTTGCTTTGGAAATGTACAGCAAAAACAAGGTAATTTGAAAATAATAATACTAACGAAATCAGGGGTTTTTAATTTGGTTTCAAAATCATTCCAGCTATACCAGTTTCAGATGCAGGTTCGGCTGGCAAATAGGTTAGGCTGTTTAATAAATACGTTTTTAAAATTGGGGTTTGTCCACACCAATTAGTCAAACTAGATTTAAAACCGGTCTGGCAGGAAACAAGTTCAGACTTGTGTTTTCAGACAGCGTGCAGCCCTGCTTATCCCAGACAGCCAAACCAGATTTCAAACCGGTTTTGCTGGAACCATGTTTGAATAAAGGTTAACAATTGGCTTGCAAACCAGAGTCACTGCCCACACTCATCAGGCTAAGACACCTACCACCTACGGGCTGTCCACCTGCATGTAGAGAAAACAAACACACTTTTTTCCATAGGTCTTTAAAGGGACAGCAGCCCACCATGTGTTATGTTATCGCTCTGTCTAAGAACATACTCTTCTGTACTATTGTTGCTTGGAAACAGATCTTATTTGATCTTTATCTGCCCCCAGACAGCCTGGCCACTTCAAGCCATGGTATGTAGGCCTGCTCAGAGCAGGTTTAGCCATGATGGTTAAAATACCAGCAGCAACCTGTTGACTACCACCAGGAAAGCCAAATCAATGCAAATCTTGGAGGGGAGAGGGGGAAGGGAGAGCATAGCTGGGGAAGGCTGCTGTATTTAAACACAGCTTTAGGTAGTGAGCTGGTTCTGATCCTGAACACCAGAAGACAGAGCTCATGCTGCAACGTGAAACCTCTTTAACACCACATGGTTGTGAAACATCATAGCGGTGACCATGGCTGGTGGGTGAAAGTAGGGCGGAGGAAGGCAAGTCCTTAGCCCCACCTCTTTTTCCCAGGCCCCGCCCACAGGAGCCAAACAGCCCACCACCCAGCACCAGGGGATGGTAGGGCGGCGAGTGGCCCCAGCCTCCCCTCTCCCCCAGCACTACAGGGAGGGAGGGCAGCATGCGGCCACAGTGTCCCCAGCCCTGGAGTATGGAGAGGGCATGCACTTGGAGGCAGCAATACTCTGTCCCCAACATGCCTACCGTAGGCATCCTGGGGACAGAGATTGGGCGGGGCCAGGCTGGCGGTTTGGGAAGGCAATGCCTCCCCCTGCCTATGATACCCACCGCCCCTGGCTGTGACCTGTGGGGATAGAAAACAGCCGATTGTTGTCTAGCAGCTAGGGCCAAGTGTTCAAGTGCTTGGCCCCCAGTTGCTCCCACAGTGACCCTTGTGGCCATGTTTTCCAAGAATTCAGTACGCAACATGCTCCCAATGTGCTGGGCTCTAACGAGTTAGCCTCTTGCTCTGGTGCCTCAAAAGAATCTCTTTCTGAAAAGCCAGTCCTTTGGGCTGATGGTTTACATAGGCTGCCATGATTTCTAAACACATGCTACGTCTACTTTGAAGTAGGAATAAGAGATCCTCCGGAATAGGGCTTTATTCCGGAGGATCGGGGCCAGTCTAGACGCTTTTTTCCGGCTTATCTACAAGCCGGAAAAAAGCGGCGGACATCTTTATTTAG